TATTTATATGTAATAATAAAAATACATACATACACAAGCTTGCGTTTTTATTAGTAATATTTTTTCCATTTGAAAGGGTTAGAGAATCTATCTAATGTCGATTGCTTTTCTCTCTTCTTCAGGATTTGTTCAATTGTAGAAATCCACAAGCCTCAACCTGGTTTGGAAGCCATTCTAAGACCGTTGTTCTGACATCCTCCACTTCTTCAAAGGATCTTTAATTAATAATAGATATCGGCATTAATAATCTTTTTCAGAAGAAAACATATCTCACCGAGTTTCTTGATGTTCTTCATTCAAGAGTTCTTGGCGTTCTTCTGTCGTCAGATCCGTTTCATGTTCCATTATGAACTTTTCGATGTTCTTTATTTCTCAAATGTGATTTTTGTTACTCCTTTAGCTGCTTGAGTCTTCTTGATTATACAGTATCTTTCTTAAATAAGATTGAACTGAGGCCTACTGTAGACCTGTTCACACCATACTGCCCAGCAACATTAGGCATCTTCTGCCCACTCTCTACCTTTGCTATTATACTCTCACCTTTCAAAAAGAAAATGCAAAACTTAACAAGTGCCTACCCGACAGTCTCATGAATACATAAAAGAATTGTTTTGTCAGAAAAATAAAAGGCTGGAATTACAAGGGAGAGTTTCAAAGTTCAGAGGAATACTATCCGATCGGTATAGAGCGTCAATGTTGACGTCTCCCACACTCTGAAAAGTTTCAAATTGTTGCCCGAAGATAAGGGAAGACCGATTGTATTCATTATTTTACATCGCTTCTTCTTGTGTTTGTTCTGTGGGGTGTTCGTTGTCCGAACATAAAAATCTTTCGCGAAAGTGTTCGTTATTCGATTTGTTCGTTATCCGATCTGTTCGTTAACCGATCACCCACTGTATTTTTACAAATAGAAGTAACTTTTACAAATTCTATTTGTAAATACATAGCATAAGTGCTGTAATTTCAGGCAGATAATCCACAGTGACATACAACCAGTGACACAGCAAAAGACCTGTAAAAAATTGCAAAAACATAAATAAAATATTTCTATAACTTATCCTATCCTAAACGCTATGCCTCTGAGGTAGCTGTTAAAAGCAAGATAATTATTGGTATGCAGTTTAGAATTTGCCATCTCAAGCATTTAAATATTGCTTTTTCTGTTTCATTTCTGTTACATTTACTTATATATAATTATACACACTTAT